GGAGGCAGTATGACCTCTGAAACGTTGGTTAACATCGACCAGACTACACAGCGCAACAACCCAGAAGACGGAAATCTTCATACTCACCGCTGTGAGAACCTCAAGTCTTACAAAGACCATTTTGCTTGGTTATCCCACATCAGAAGCCTCGATGGGTAATCTGTACTTGTTCTGACGGACTGAGATACAATGAGAAGCATTTCTTAATACTGCGTCATGCATTAGGCCTATAATATTTTTCCATTCTCGGTTAAGATATCGTAATTAAAATTCTTCTCTTTCCTTTTCCTTCGACGTAGATGCTGCTTAGAATACGACGTCCTCTGGAATTTATTTTTGGCTAACTTATGGCAGAAAATAAGACAGACATTCTCGTTTCAAGTGTTTTTTAATATGACTTCTGAAGACTTAAATGACAGTACAGCAAATATATTTGAATTAAAGTTTGCAAAACTTGGCGAGGCAGGATACTTATTTCAGGTGCTACGTATTCTTTGCCATGTAATTTAGGTACATATTTTCATACAATGAGGAGGTCTCCCCTTTGAGTAATGTGATAGCGCTGATAGTGTTTGTAGACTGTGCAAGTGTAGAGTAGTCTACACCGCACCTCCTCAATGGACGGAACCGAAGAGAAAGGCAAAATTGTTGTCCGATATTTATTCACACATCAAAGGGTATCGAATAACATTATGGCTTTGCGAAGCGCTAGGAGTTACAGAGCGGCTTTCAGCTCTGAGCAACAAACACTCTTCACACTTGCCATATCGGTATATTTCGGCTGAAATCAGAGGTTACAGTCGTTGTTTTCAAAGTCCGTGTGCCTCCGAACGTTTTATTACTAGACGATGGATAATATCCAAGTAAATTTTTATTCAATTGACTCTTCACCATCGTCAAGAAGTTTTAGATTTGATATAGATTTTTCTTGTATTTCAAATTATATTTCCCCCCCCATAGATTTGTAATTTTGGAAATACGACTCGCAAATCTGTCAGCAGAAACGTGACAGGCGAAACCGCAGTAAACTTCAGCTGTCTGTCGTGTTCAAAATTCTGTTTCCGGATGAGAAGAAGGCTCCACTTGTCTCAGCGTAGTCAATATTTGTTATATATACGCCATTACAAAAACATTGCTCCTTAATACAGTATCAACTTTTTAAATAACCGTTTTTATCATAGTATGACATTTTATAAACAATTACCGAGTGAAGTAAAATAGGCAATAAGGAATGAAAATGTAGGCTGTCAGGCTAACATGGCTAGAGAAGTTTCGCGGTTACAGTTTACATTATAAATTACTTAGGAACTTGCGTACTTTAGATGAATAACGGGCCCGGTGAGAGGCAGTGTGACTCTTATCTACGCCCAAACGAGGCAGCTTCTTGCCTATAAGAATGGTTCTATTTTAAGGCGTCTGACGATGAACATAAGGAAGAAAGTTTTAAAGGCGGATTGTTTAAAATTTTATGTTTTCTGAGACCAGAATCTCTTCTCACACCGTGGATGTGGTAGCCATGATTAATAACCATGTGGCCAGCCCAGATAATGGAACTCACTTTAGTCGCAAATCCAGTGTGGAGGTGGATTTATACTTTACTTGGGATAAGAGACGCAGCCGAGCAGCAGTCGCTGTGACGTTTCCCTTGCGAAGGACAAAAGATCTGCCTGAATAAAACACAAACCTTCTGATTTCTGTAATGCGACGTCACATGCTAGTAGGAATAACCTAAGTTTGCAACTTCAAACTCTTTCTATATAAACAGTTACGTTACTATTAATATTATTATGGGCGGGACATGTAGCGCGCATGGATGGGACAAGAGGTGTGCACCGGGTACTGGTTGGGAAACCTGAAGGGAAGAGACCGCTGGGGAGACCTAGACGTAGATGGGAGGATAATCTCAGTCGGGATCTATGGGAGATAGGAGTTGAAGGAAACTGGATTTTGTTGGCCCAGGACAGGGTCCGGTGGAGGGCTTTGGTTAATTCGGTGATGAACCTTCGGGTTCGGTAAGCCATCTAGTTAGTTAGTTAGTTATTATTATCATTATAAATGAATTGAATTGAATTAAAATGTAATTGGTCTTTAAAATCTTGTGTCGGGAACTTCATCCTAAGCCTCTAAAATTTATTCAATTGACTCTTCACCATCGTCAAGAAGTTTTAGATTTGATACTCTAAAATGATGTCTGAAAATTTCGTCTTGATGAAGACACGTTTGGAGACAAAAAGCTTTTGCTGTGTTAATTAGGCGTGAGATGCAGGCCTAAGATAAGGTGTAAATATTCTGCCTTGATATTGAGCCTGAAGGAGACCACCTGTGACGTAGACTGAGACTTTTTCGTTAATCAACTCTTGTAAGCCTGTCTGAAGCGCAGTGTTCAGGTAACCTGGGAAAACAGTCAAGCATTACAGACAGTTATTGCTTTGAAATTCTTCCGGGTAGTTCTTGGGCACCCCTCGTATTCGTGCTCCATGTTAACATTTGACAAAGCAATTAGAGGCAATGGCCTCATTAAGCTGACGGTTCTACTAGAATTGACACATGGGGGTTTGATGTAATTACCACGACGAGGGTGGTAAGTTGTGCGTTTGTTTCGGGAAATAGGGTAATAAAATTTCACTTTTTATTTCGCGCGATGGTTCAGCTAATCGTTTTGTAGTGGCGCTGATGTCATCTAGATGGCTTTCATGCGGGTCAGGCATGTTGTTAGAATGTTCGGTGGTTCATGTCACAGTACAGAATTTCCGTAGGCCTGTATTTTGAACACGACGTGTTAAGTCGTTGAAACCTTTCCATGCTAAGCACGGGTCATCTAGTTTAAACACACTGGCCCCTCTGGTATGAATTTATTGACTGTCAGTTGGATGAACGAAATAAATTTATCAGGAGTCAGAACTTAGCCTACTAATGTGTGTACGATTTGTTGCCTATGTATAGGCCTAAAGGACCTGTGGGCTATTGACAAGAGAAGGACAGCCTATTGGTAAATGAAATCAGTGAGTCTGACAGTGACCTGTGGACTATAATTGTTGCTCATTCTTCTTCTCTGTCAGCGTAGAATAATAGAATGATTGAGAAATGCATAGGCAAACTAACTGGAAAGAAATCGTACGTAGCCGCTATTGAGGCAGAATACTGTCTCGGATTTCCTGGAGGGACGGAGGAAAAATACGTAACACTTCAGTCAGGTCGGACGGTCTCTGGTCCCAGATTTAAATCCGCGACTTTACGAATAGGAAGTAGGCGTGCTAACTACCCAGCCACTCACCGTTACTTATAGACCTTCTTGTCCCTGTGTTCCAGAGCCGGAGATTGAGAACAGGAACCTGTTCCAGGCGCTGGGAAGGCAGATTGCGAGCTGGACCACGAGGTGGCGTCACCACAACGGCAGCAGCGACGCTGAAAGGTAGGAGGAAAGTCCGACGACGTCGGTAAGTTCTGGAAAGGCCACTCAAATAAGGAGAGAGACCGCAAGTACAGGTTTTGTTAACAAGTGTTGAGGCATATCAACATGGCTACAGTTCAGGCTTGCAACTGATTCTCACAATAAATAGCAATCGTTTCCTTAAAGGACATTGCCCTGGTATTAGTAATGAAGACGCGCTGTGTTACTCTGCGGAACGGGCTGAATTTGTGAGTGACACTTCAGCCATATTGCCTCTCCCCAAGGCTCGGACTCGTGACTGGAACAGACAAAGTACGAGGAATTAAACGCGTGTGCTGAGCTTCTAGCAACATTATTACGTTTCTTGTTCATGTGATCCAATTATTTACACTTTCGCGGCTTGATGGTAGAAAACTCTTGTGTCATATCACGAAATTATCGTTAAAAATAAATTATTTTAGCTCACAAGCATCCATCTTGGTAATGCTGTGCCCAGAATTTCAACAGCCGATCCATTGCAACGATCTTACTACGGGACTCCCACACCTTCTCGTCAACTAATTACATAGGTTCGGGTGTTTGCGGACGAATCAAGAAGAATGACGTCACTTTCAACTGAAGACAGGTGATGATATTGAGGAATCGCAGCCAATCACAGCAGAAGGATATGTGATATTCCCAGGAAGTCAGGGCGGTTGAGACAGCGGGTGTGGGAAACGTTCGGTTTTAACTCAAATTTGTGATGCTGATCGTATTTATTCCCCGTGCAGATTTCAACTGTTACTTCCTTAGTCCCTGTCAATTGTCCCTTCCATGTCTTGTGAGTTGCATACCTTGCTGGTGTGCTACGGATTTTTATCACCCTTAAAAATTCCATCGACCTCGGCGGGTTTGAACCCACAAACCTTGGATATAGTGGCAAGCACGCAACTACTAGACCACCGAAGGCGATAACACACTCATACTGTTTTTAAGATTTTATCCTTTCTTCAGATGTTCACTAACATATAGTGAGAAGGCCTGGTCTACGCTGAGTACGTCTGTTGGACTAAGAGGTTTAATATTGTATTTATGCGTAATTTAAAACGGATGTCCTAGTATTTAAGAGCAGGTCTCTGTGGCTTAGCTGTAGGAAACTTTAACTCTTCATAACACAGGGAGAACTGCAAACTTTTGTACCACCTATTATGACATTCAACAACTTTGCTTTTTTCCCCCGCAGAATTTATTTAAGGGGTTTTTATGATTCTCAGAATAAAAACCACGAAGATAATCAAAAAGAGGACTGAGAGGAAGAAGGAAAAACCGCTAAATTGAAAAGAGGAAAAAGGTAAACGAAAGGAAAGTAACTGAATGATGTCAGTTGATTTTGTTACTGTACGGGTCTGCCCGTAAGCTGTCAGTCAGGATAATATAACGTGATCCTCTTCCTGATGGCCTGGTCTCTGAAGGATAACTTGTTGAAGCAGGCGTAATTGGAGTTAGGGTCGTGTCCCTACTTTGTAAGGTCAAGAGAGTGCCGAGGGTTTCCCATACAAATCTGCCTGCTCGGCTTTAGAACCCCCGTTTCAAGTTACTATAGGCTGCCCGCACTGACACGCTCCTCTTCATACAGACTAGGGCCCGAAGTTTAACGATGGCCTCTCAGCTGAGGCTGGCGGGGTTGAATGGCGGTGCCATCCATCATGTGAAGTGCGCCTGACAATGATACATCAGGCCGAACACCTGCATAAGACAGCAGCACTGAAACTTTTCTCTACTTCAGGTGCCTTGTCTCGCCACAAGACTTTTCAGCCTATTTTTGAATATTTTGCCAGGGGAAATGTAGCTAGAGCTGTAGATAGTGGTACAGGTTACGGAGGAACATACTGCCTCTATTTTCAGTTTTGCATGTCTGCAGCGACGCAGCATCGCGCCTTGTTCGTGAAACTGAGTACACTTTGTAATTGGAATCGTCTTCGCGAGGTCGCGTTGCTTTGTGTCGTTTTTAATTTCCGAGTTTCTTTTAGCGGGAAATTAAATTTTATGTTATGGTTAATTCGTTTAAATTAATGAGATTAAAGCAGCTGGGATGTTTTATATCGAAACAGAAGTCAAATAACCTATCTGCAGCAACTTACAGCAAGTACTGCACGATACTTGGAACAGCGCATTGCGATATCTTTCTGTGACAAACACCTAAATTAAGCATGAATGGAGGTTTTACGGCGGCGAGTTTGAAGATGTCTGTCTTCTGGGTTGTAGCACCGTGTGGTTTGTCGACGTTTCAGAGGTGTTTGCTGCCCCTATCATAAGTTCTGATCGCCTTTAGTTTATAAAGTAAGAAACTGACCGAATATCATGTTTGAGTGGTAAGCATTCTTGATGATTAGACTCTAGAGGTCCCTGGTTCGAATTTCGATCCGGAGGCCGGCTATCCTGTCTGAGGTCTCTTGTGGTCTTCGGATGTTCCTCCAAGCTAATATCAAAATATATAAATTGTACCTTTAAGAAGGCTATGAGGTTTTCCTTCCACATTATTTCCCTATCATAATTCACAAGTATCCTATCATTGAAGATACGTAGTTAAAGAAGTGTCGTTAAATTAAACCAGGATTAAACGTTTAAGATCATTCAAATTTAAAGTTTGTTCTCTTTTAAATAAAGTACAGGACAGAGCAGCATGTCTGGAGTGAATGAAAAGCAATTAGCTGAAATATGAAGCTCCCAGACGTAAATTTCTCTCTTTGCAGGATGACGCGAGAAGATTTACATGAAATGGAGCTTTTAGACCGAGAATTAGCATATGCTGGAACGTAAATAAATAAAATCGTGTTTGTATTAGACTGCTCCGAGACAGGAAAAACGCTGAAAACTACAAGGATCAAGATACTCGAATTGGCAACGGTTTATTCTTAATTTATAAGTTAGTTTGCATCATTGCGGTGTTTTATAAATCAATAGGAAATACGTAATAGGCGTCGTCTTCTTGCAACAAACCAAATAGGCCTTTAAGCTTTAGGGCAGATTTTGATGAATACATGCGCACGGCAGTTAAGTGAGACTAGTTATAACTCCCTGAGAATTTAATATTCTTAAGGTTAACTTTGGGTGTTAAGACAAAGTAGTCCACATATTTGTCACGAAGGAGGCCCCAGCCAGCCGTTGTACCGTATTTACACTTACAGTACGAGCGCCCTTTATCTAGGATACAACTCCCTTGCATGCTGTTATTTTCAGGAAATTAAATATGTCTAGGAACGGGGGGGCGCCCCCCCCCCCCCCCCCCAGCGTTGGAATAAGAAGTAACAGACTTAATTTATTTGCACTGTAAAGAAACGCGAACTCTTTCCAGACAGGATCTCTTATATTTGTGTTTGTTCCGGTCTGTTTTCCCTGTGACTCACAGAAATGGAAACTACCTAACTTCATAGTGCAGGGCCAGGGTATTTCTCGAAAATGTATTGTCTCCGCTTGAATTTAACCCGAAAGATCAAAACCTTGCTCAAAAAAAGGGAAAAGTTCTTCATTCAACTCTGTCCTGTTAGCCAGTTTTATCCCATCCAAATAATACGAAGGTAAGTTTCAATATTGTATGTCCATTTACGTCTTGGTCTCCGAAGGCTCTGTTCCTTTTAGACTTTCAGAATACGCGCTGTTCTAATCTCCGCCATGGATGGTACATGTTCCGCCCATCTCGCTTGACTTGAATTAAATACAATGACATTAAGTCTGTTACTTAAAGGTTACAAATTATGAATCTCCCCTTTATGTAATTTTCTCTATCTCGCTCTTAGCCAATTAAATAAAAACTTAATAAAAATCTCGTTTATTTATGCAAGGCGAACAAAAGACCCTTATCACTGTCAGTAATGAAATTTAAATATTTTGCTGTTTATTGCAAGGTTATGTCTTGAATACCTGTTCTTTTAGCGTCTTATTAAGGTTATATTGTTAAAACATGTTCTCCCGTCGAACATGCTGGCGTGCTGGTGTTGTTTGAAAATTGCATACAGGAGTTGCTCGGTCGATGCAGACACCACGCAGTAGGTCCTTAATTCCTTTCGTGTTAAATATACGAGTAGTATACGCTTAGGTCTCAACACTTTAAAACACAGCGGTACCTCTGTGTACCAACTACTCTAACATTCATAAACTCTGCATTTACATTATGGGTTTCATGTGATTCTCAGAACGAACGAGTATATATTTTTTAAAAAACATTATGTAGTTGATCCTTGTAATGGAGACTCGTTTTGTAGCAACTGACTGTTTAAATATTGCCGAAAAATGTTTGAAATACAAGTTGTAGGCCTACGTCCTAATAAACGCTGCCCTCAGTTCAATGTGCTATGAGTCGTATGTTTAAGATTTATATTATTAATGTAAATTTGAAGGAGCAGTGCATTTTATTGGACTGATACGAACCAATATTGCATTTATGCCAACATTTGGTATGCATAAACTAGTGCGTGGTTTTACCGAAGTCCGTTCTGTAATTTCGGAGTTAAAACACGTGACGCGACCTGCCCACTATGCATCCGTGTTGTGCTAACTTCATTAAGCCACTTGCCTGTCAGATGGCGTCACAATACACCTATTACGTCTGTGTTATCATTAGGCCTGTTCTGAGCCCTCGTGACGTCAGTTGTCACACTCTGATAGAAGAACAAATGTCACAGTATCAGCGCAACGCCACAGATAAAACTCCTTTGTCTCTTGCACACCTAAAACGAACGTATTAAAAGCCTGGACATGGTAATTGTGCGACGTACACGCCTGAGATTGTAGTGTGTTTGGGTGTGAAACTTGGTTTCTCTTCCTTATGGGAGAACGTGGGTTAATGATGGAGAGAGACATGTCTGATTCGGATGACAGAAGAAAACAGAGATTGGCCACTAATTACATATTTTAGTTACACAGTTGATCGTCCAAGAAGACTTCGTCACACACAAAACTGAGCCAGAAAGCCTGAATGGAAGACAACTATAACACTGTAGCACTTGTTAGCAAGACTGAAATTTGATCTTGGTTGGTTCTTATTTAATGTGGGCTGTTGGTATGGGTTGTTCCGTCAGAACGCGCTGACTCATTCATTACTTTCAAATTTGTTTTATAAAATATCAGTTAGATTTATATTCCCAGCTATTAACGGAGTGGTCTGTGTTTATAACGGAGTTGGTCCATCCCCCAAACATTGGAAACTCAGTCCATACTTACAAGACTGATCGCTCGAGAAGACATCGCTTAAGTCAGTAGACGTAAAAGCTTCAAATCGTTTGAAGTTTTGTATGCCTCTGACATTTCCACCACGCGCAATTTATGTTGCACACAACCCAATCTATTTTATTTTGATCGCCGACTGATTACAATTTATGACGCTACGCATTGACTCTTGCAATGTTCCCTCAGAGAATCTTTCTGTTGTGTTAGCACCGGTTTCAGTGTCAATGTGAAGAAGAGAAGTTTGAAGTCGATACGACATGATGGAGACAATAAAGGGGATCATCCTGTGCGACACCACGGGAAACACCGCTGGAAACTGGAACCGCCTGTGAACCTCAGCGCCACGACGACCAGCTCCCCGGCCGAGAGGAACCCGACGTCGCCTCTCTCGAGGCGACTTACCGACCACGACATGTGTTACAGCACAAATCAGGTGCTGCTTATCATCGCAGTAACCTGCGCCGTCAACTTCGCCTTTATCTTCGTCGTCATGACACTCGTCCACGTATGCAACCGTGCCGGCGGCAAGCTCAGCGGGTAAGCGCTCAGAAACACTAACTGTGCTTACGATAAAGCTTGATGGTTAGGTCTGCTAGTAGACAATATCTGTCCGTCGACATGCGTTGCCTCCGAAACTACTGCACAGATTTTAATCAGATTTAGTATCTGGTAATTATAAAAATTAAATTCTGTCAATGTTGACCTAGTATTTGCTTACCCCTGGGCCCACTTTATATGTAGCTCTAAACAAGGTTTAGAAACAGATAACAACGGATGATTTTACCAAAAGTTGTTTCTGATCTAGATTATAGATTATGTTAAAATGTACGACTTTCATTTGAAACATTTTTCGATTTAGTAAATATTCAACTAGACACGTGGAATTATAATTGTTAACTCTGTATAGTCTGACTTCTTCTGTTGCGTAAAATTTAATGGAGTGTGTGTGTATATATGCAATGAGCACATTTGAAAAGCTTGTGCTCTCCATTGGAGTACACATTTAAACTCTTGTCCACCCTGACTCAGTCACGTACTGCAAAGGATTCAGACAAAATTCGCTAAAGTAAGCCTTTGAATGACTCAGTGGAGGCAATGGTAAATTGCACAGATATTTGTTGACATTCCTGCCTTACATCTTGGAGGTCCCAAATTCTAATCTCGACCCAGAATCCGGCTACCTTAACTGATTGCTTCTAGTCTTTTCAAGCAATTTCCAACAAATACCTGAAAGTAGGCCACCTTATAATCCAACATTCACAAACCGTCTTAGAATTCGATGCTACATTACTCGTGTGGTTGGAGCAGTGTTGTTAAATGAATCATGAATATTTTTCGGTTGTGGAGGAGTTTCAGATCCAGTGCACAGGTGCATGCCCTGTTGTAAATAATGCCGATTTGCTCATTCAGGAACGAAACGCTGATTTTGAAGAGGCGTTTGCACGGGAATCCGCTTTGGCAAGGAAATCCTAATCATTCAGACTCTTGTTACAACTTAACCTATCATATCTGAACAGAGCACGCTACAGACTAAATTATCCCATTAAAAATATATTAAAATTTGCCGTCATTCACAATATAATATTATTAAAAGATTAAAATATCATTTTACGTTCCCTATCGAGTACTCGATTTACATGTGGAACATACACGACATGTTTCGGCTATATATAGCCATCATCAGGTGTTATGTATTAAAACTTTTCACTGAATTACTGATTTTTTACTGATTTTTAATGATTTTTAGTCTTCATTTTTCTTATGATGTTCTTGTCCTTTAAAAATGATATTTTAATCTTTTAATAATATTATATTGTGATTGACGGCAAATTTTAATATATTTTTAATACTATATAAATCACAATATGACGCATCTACAATATCTTATAAATTATCCCAATTATAACTCCAGAACTATAATAAAGATCAGAAATTATTTTACGTTTGTCTACAGCCATATTAATTCTGAGCGAAGGTTTTCTGTTGTATAATTTGGCAGGCTTGACTCCGTCGCTCTGGCTGAGAACGAAGAATACGACATCAGCGACGAGAAAATGTCGTCGGATCGTCCCAGCATACGCCGAGAACCGTCGTCATACAACAGCGTTCAGGAATACGTTAATTCACTGCCGAGCAGTTTCGACAGAACGGCCTCCATGATTTCACTCCACAGTCTGCATGTGGCCAGGAATCACTCGCAAGAAAACCTCCTCGCAAAGAGTAACAGTCTACACACATCCTTCTCCATGGAGGACCTTCTATTCGTGGGCTGACAACAAAAGTCCGCGCTTGGATTGTAAGAGTGTAGACCCGCGAGATGCCACAAATCGTACGAGGTATTTGGAGTGCAGACAATTCTACTAAGACGTGTTAAGAGAATTGTGGATTTTATTTAAGAAAAAGATAATAGAAAAACTTGTAAGTTCTAAAATTCAGACAGAGGCAAGGTATTGATAAAATAATTATTTTTATGGATGCAATGGGTCTAAGAACAGATTACTTTAAACGGGAATCGGTCTTCCAGCCTTCGGAAATTATCGTGTTCGTAACAGGCAGAAATAAAACTTGTTCCTAAAACCATTAACTCCCACGTTCATGTAATTTAACACTAAAGTTGGTTTTTTTTTGTGATTATTGAAAGTATAAGAGTACGGACATCAACCAAAGAAACTTCAGCATCCTTTCATGTCTTGGTCAGATCATTTGGGTAAAGTTCTAGGATCACCGCCACTATCATCTGAGCGTAAGTTTCCTGATTTGCGTAGCCGAGTGTGTGTTCAACCAGTAAGAGCGTTCTGGAGCAGTTCCTGGTTACTGTAAGCAGACATTTAAAACATTGAAGATTTCTGTCTTCTGGGTGCCCACGTGCTACCATTGGTCCACTCCCATACCTGCTCCCATTGGCTCGGGGCAGGCTACACCTTTCACTTCCCTGCCTATAAATCCAACTCCTCACACCCTATTGGCATATTCATCGCCCTGATGACGGAGGCAGTATGACCTCTGAAACGTTGGTTAACATCGACCAGACTACACAGCGCAATAACCCAGAAGACAGAAATCTTCATACTCACCGCTGTGAGAACCTCAAGTCTTACATTTAAAACATTGCTTAATTGGTATTTGACTGTAATCGTCCGGCGATAGGGGCTAGCCCTATCTGTGTCCAACTGAGTAGGTTTTACCTGACAACGGAGAAATAGTTCAGTTTCCGAAACGTCCTCTTTTATTTGTATTAAAACGAATAATACTGTGTAGGAAGTTTATATATTTTAATAATACAGGAAGCTCGAGATTTAACACAACTTACTGCTGTTTTTTGATGCTGTAGTTAAGAGAAATGAATAGGAATATTTATATCACTGCACATCTCACTTTGATTGTTTACAGCTTACCTACGTCAATATTTTACCAGAATCAACGATAAAATAAACTTTAGGCCTGTGTAAAGATTACAAACCCACAGAAAGCTATCACACGTCAGAATTGGTAATTTTATATACCCAGAGAGCCTAATACATTATTCTTGCGTTTACATTTTTTAAATTTTCCTAGAAATTAAAATTTTTTCGGAATATTTTATTTTTCCTTTCCCAATATAATGTGTGATATTAGGCAAGAATTATTTATTAGATTTTTTTAGTTGAAGAAAAGTATTTTTGGAATAATTGTTATTGTACATTCAGTCTATTATACTACTACTACTACTACTAATAATAATAATAACAATAATATGTTGGATACATAGTAGGACGAAGTTATTTGATGTCTTCAAGTGTAAGTTACAAAATAGCAATCAATCCGTGTTGTGGTGAATTGGTATTTTTCTATCATGAGACTGTGATACAATAAGAAAACTGCTCCAAGTTACTTCTACAGAATTTCTAGACTTGCAGCTATACTGGTGTTTTAATTAAGTGCTAGATTAACGTTTTACATTCGGCGAACCCATATCTGTTGTAAATATTGTATTATATTTGATGTATTGTGTTTATTTTAGAATTCAAAGGCATGTTATTTAAATAAGTAACGTTTATAACGATAATATTTTACTCCAGATAAAAATGGCCTCAGTCTCAGATGGAGATGTCACGTAACCGTTTTCAACGTGAAGTTCTTTCTACAGAAACGACAAATGTCATATTTACGACCCTTTCCGGTGCTTGTACTTCCGGTCCATGAAATCTGTGCTGTAATATGTGTATCATTTCCAGTTTCTATGTAATTATTAATCTGTATTATGGTTTGGCCAGTTTATTAAACTCATTTCAGATAGTTTTACTACAACTTTAAAAAATTCCCATATATTTACATATAACATTAAAAGTGTATCCAAATCTCACGATACAGGGTGAAATTAAACAATGTTCTGCATACAGCTTTTTAAATGCATTTCTATGTATAGGCCTATTAAGTGCATAAAATATTTATTTAAACGTTCCTAACAACCTGCTCAAATTAGCCAATTAAAAGACTTTGATTGTCAGCACAATGAAGCCGCCGAAGAAGTTTGTGAGTTCTGTCGCCTTTCATTGTCTTGTGAAATGCAGAGAAAATTATGTCGTGCTAAAATTATCTTTATAAACATAACGATTATGACGTCTTCGTCCTATATCTTTCACATTGGCCATATCAAATAGACTACAGAAGGAAATAAGGATTTTGGAACGTATAAAAATGAGGCGATTCCAAAAACTGATCGGATTGAATTCCATAAATAACTTGTAGTTAGATTTTAACAAGATCCTCTCAGGCCATCAGAAATGTCAGAAGGTTGAAACTTGCCGACGTTTCGACTATTCAGGGACACTCATTGTCTCCATCATCAGGGTGTGTGATATCACATCAGACGCCCTGAAACATCGGCGAGTTTTAACAATTTGACACAGCTGATGGACAGAGAGGATTTTATTAATTGGATACGGCGTGAAAGTTAAAGATCACCACCATCCATTCGATGGTTGTTATTCGGACGCTGTAGTTGGGAAACAATCCAAATGCTGTGGTTCGATTACCGCCATTAGATTATTTTTTTTAAAAAGAATCGAATGATTCATTCGATTGTTACATTCCAATATCGATTTTTTCGATAATCGGTTGTACATGTCATTCGATTGTGCCCTTCCCCGAAGAACTTCGTGATCTTTCGTAAACGTTCGGCTTCGAATGGCGGACTAGTCTGTGGGTGTGGTGGCAGAGTGAAGATTTTTGTAATTGGTTTATATATTATTGCTTATTTTAAGTTTCTTAAAACATTATGACTACGTGTGATTTATGTTAATGACATATACATTCCACACCGTGTGGATTTGGTAGAGAAGAATTCAAGAACGAGGTAAGTGTGGTGCTTGTTACATCAGTTTGCACGTGTCTGCATATACTGTCATCTAATTTAGAACATATACAGTTGTGTTTAAAGTCATGCCAGCAAGTAATATAAATATATTTCTTATATACTTAATAAGCAGTTATTTCGATTATAAATTAAAGCCACCTGTGGTTACAATGCGGTCCCCACTACCAGTGATTTGCCGGTATTGCTGCTGTTTGCTATTACCCAATAAGCTAGAGGGATCGTTCAAGTATTCAAATTATCTATGCCTCTTTTCTCTTTAAAATTCTTCACTAACAATGAATTACAAAATGGTTGAGTTTGTACAGAATAAGTTTGATTTCTTTAATTTCTTTCAGTAAACATTGGTTTACACAATGGTTTGGTCAGGCATCGACATGCTAGTATTGTCCCTTACAAATTTATGGGTTATGGTGTATATGCCTGCCTTCTCGTCTTCGGTGACCGTGTTTAGGACCGTCCAATTAAGCTCTCAACATTTTAATTTTACGATTAGATAAATCTTTATCTGCCAGGAATTGAACACCTGTTAGATTAAACAAATTCATGTAGTAAAGTCTCTATAGATAAGACTATGGTCATTCACATAGATTAGTCATTTCTGCGCTTTTTCATGCAGTCCGAAGTTTCATTGTTGTGTTTACAAGAGCCCAACACTTGTCCCTGCCCTGAGCAAGATGTATCCAGTTCCAACCCTACCTGCCCTGTATTATCAAGATTGTGTTTAATATTGACCTCCTGTCTGCATTTAGATCTTCCAAATAGCAAATAATTTTCTTCCTTCATGTTCTTCTTTCAAATCTTTGTGTGTATTTCTCATCTCTTCCATGCATGTTACATACATCTTTCATCCCATTATTCTTTAATTGATCACCGAATAATGTTTGCTGAAGAGCCAGAATTGTGATGTGTCTTGTTATGCTCTTCAATTCTCCTATTACTTGCTTCCTCTTAGCTCCAGATATTCTCACCACCACCCTGTTCTCAAACATCCTCAGTCTATGTTCACACATTTAATATGAGAGTATAAGTTTCACAAGTGAAATTATAATTTTAAATATGTTACTCCTTACGATTTAGGCATTCGTATGTACCATCTATGTCTGCATATCTGTGGCATTCTTCGGTACATCAACAGTAACCTCAGATCATATTATTGCAACAGTGAGTTTTAATAATGTGCTGAAAAATGTCACAGATGCGCTTTGGATGGCTTTGTTGGCTTTGAAAGCATTGTTGCATTTTTATTCTCTTGGTTGTTGTTTGATGACATTGACCGTGATATGGTATGAAGAATGTCATTGGAGTTTCACTGTACTCCAAGCAGTACAATTATCCAGTCTTGTTAAATGGTAGACTGGAAGACGGTGGTAGCAAGCATTCCTTTTATTTTTTAAATTTACACTTGTTTATGTTTGATTTGGTAAGCACAAATAAAATATAAATTTTAATGGAAGCCTGGTGGTAGATGATGCCAGGTCACTGAGTGTTAAGGAATTTATAGTACCATGCAAGACTAATAAAGCACTTTAGCGAATGGCTTATCAGATCTGCTTGTTGCATAATTCCTAACTCTTCTTCAGCTAAACAGTTGTGTCTTTAAAGTTGCATGTTCCCACAGTCTTGGAGCTCATGACTGCAGACTTACGACTGGCCCTTTCTTGACAGTTCCTTGACAGACCAACCCTTCTCACTGCTTATGTTGAAGTATGTTTTACTGTCTGTAGAATGGAATAGAATTTATTTACGTTCCGTAGATCCTTCATAGGCCTAAGTCAAGGATGTAGAATTTGTTGTAATACAAATACAACACAATTAAATAGAAACTATTAACAGCTATTTACAGGCGTATCTGATATAATACAATATTACGGCCAAGTAATTATGTCAAGGAATCATCACTATTATTACCTGTATTTGTAACTGAAAATTATTGTTTAAAGTGAATTCTTTAACTTTGTAGAATGAGTGAGGTAAGAGATACTATTTTTGGGCTGGGTTAAACAAGTTTATTTCATGATTTAACCTCTTCATTGTAGGAGGAAGATTATTGAATAATTTTATTCAAATGTAGTAAACTCCTTTTTGATATTGCTGAGGTTAGCATTTGGCACATGAAGGTTATGTCTACTTCTTGTATTTGTATTGTGTACAACAGAATTTGTTTGAACATTCTCTGTTGTCCAAAACAAATGATGATCATGAAAATAAGAATTTGCCTTGTAGTGGGAGAATATTGAACTTCTTAAACAATTCCCTACATGAGGCTCTTCCATTAGTGTCTGCCATTATTCTAATAATTTTGGTTCTGGTGTAAAATACTTTCTTGCTGTCTGTTGAATTTCCCCAGATTATTATTTTGTATGACACAGTGTAACGGAAGCAGACTACTTCTAAAGTTTGTATTTTCATGATTGGCTCTAATGTCCGTATAGCAAAACATCCTGAACTTATTTTAGGTTCGTTATGTTCAATATTTATTTTTCAGTTTAAGTTACTGTCAATTTGTATGTCAAGAACTTTTGTTGTTTGTACTTCTTCAATTGTTTTATCATCACAACATGTGTACAAATTAACAAAAGTTTTGTTGTTAGTACAAAATTTCATGAAGTTTATTTTGTAAATTTTAATTCGAGTTTGTTTGGCTTTAAATTACGACAGACGTAAGACAGGATTGGCTGTCGAGTAATTAGCCATGTCTCACGTTTTAAGAGCAGTAAAAAGTGAACATGAACGCTTCGATTTTTTTTCTCTGTTAATGCAGTTCAGAGCTGAAGTTTATATACCGTAAAGTTGACGTAGGTCCAGTGCTAATAACGGCGCTTTCCCGGTGGAATTCATGTTTATGCCTTACTTATAACTGCTCGTTATTTACTCACTAGCTTTATAATCTGAACGGAATTTCTGATTTATTAAATGTGCCAGATATAATTGAAGTTGCGTCTACCTTAATTGAAGATGGGTATTAAAGAGACGTCTTTCCAAATATTTACTTTTTTTTTCATATTTGTAGTAACTAGATCTGGAAGTACCCCCGTATGTTTCAGTGACCTATAAATTAACAAGTTGGGAAAGGAGTGCTCTTCGGAGTACACTAAAATTCAAAAGGTTTTCTACACGCCACATGACGGGCGATGACGACCGCAGATTGCTTCGTTGTGTGAGACAATTAATTAAAACTTTGTAAGGACTCGACAGATTGCAGGTGCGTGCGGAAGTACCAAATGCCATAGAAATTCAACCCACACTTAATTATGTAGCTCGTAATTAATGCAGGCAGAAAGGAAAACGGAAGGACGAACATGGATTCTGATGTTCTGCTGTTTGCCTCCACGTAACTCATTCTAAGAAACGCCGTGCTTATGCGGCAACTTCTCCGGCACGTCTCCACAGCGTGAAGTCTACACACAGTGCCACAGGCGTTTCAAACTCTGAAGTATTCTTGATAATTGGTTATCATGAGTTTGACACATGTTTGCGTATTTTACACCAATAATTTCTGAGGCAGCCGGGCAGCAGTTTATGAAGCTTTATCACTCTTACCAAGTTTGATTCTTAAGTCATTTAAGGCGATGTTTCCACTTCAGAGGTCATATGCATCGCATGAGATGAAACTACAGGTAGGACTCGGTTTACGCCGGGGTTAGGTTCATGAGATTTCCGGCGCAAAATGAAGCGGCGTAAATTGAAGCAAAAATATAATGGGAACATATGTAAATACATTAGGTTCCGTTCCAAGATTTTCATTAATCAACACAAAATACTTGAAAAATGTTTTATTTTATGAAATTTACGTATTGAAAATTGTATAATGTTTAAGAAAAAGAAAGAAAATTTACTGCTTTAAAAACGATAGAATATACGTCTGTTTGGTTTTCTTTTTTTCTAATAATAAATTATAGTATGGCTGTAGAACTGTATCAATTCCACTCTTAACGGTTGAGTTCCGCTCCCAGTTGGCGTCGTTCGTACACAAGATCTCACATCCCTTATCAATAAGAGCAGTGATTTCACTGTTAGTGTCCTAACCGGCATTGCAGAGTCAGCTTCGCTTTCCTCTGTGTCTTCTTTGGACAGTTGTTCAGCTAGCTCTTCTAAACCTTCCGTTGAAAGATCTTCACCATGACTCTCAAGGAGCTAATTTATGTCACCAACTTCTACATCATCCAGTTTTTTGTTTAATTAATTAAATTGTAGGCCGTAGTTTATCATTTAGTATTATAGTGTTATTACAATGTAAGTTTTATTGCCATCTTCGTCTAGGAAGTCGGGCACAGTGAAGAATCATCACCCCCTCCAATCGTGATCTATGAGAGGCGCAAAAGAGAAGCGGCGTAAACCGAGTCCTACCTGTATTTAAATGTTGCGTCCCGCTTTTAAATCCTCACACGTCGAGGAACTTCATTTTATAAAGACGTCATTATTCACAAACACATTTGTTAATCAACATCAAGTATTGTTCGGGCACACGCTATTTTAAATAGACCGTCGTTAATATATCTTTGTTTTAAAAGACCTCAGTCATTTATAACGCTGTAGAATTTTCTAAAAGCAGTATTGCATTCTTTTGTTTCTTTGTCTGCTCTTAGTAGGCTACAGTATACTTCAGAGAGTGAAAAGCTTTGACTTCTCTCGCACAACAGATGTGGCATGACGATGTTATGAAAGTCTTTGTTCCTTGTGGCTTGACGTCTGTAGAGACATCTGTCTGAGTACACTTATTATCATGGCTTCGGACCGCAGTTCTCCGCACATCTCTCTTTTTGTGTCAGGCTTCTTAGTGGGTATGAACGTGTTGTGGAAATGCAAAATGATTAAATTAAAAATATGAAATTCGCAAATATTTCCTTCTATTCGGTTCAAAATCTCTTTATTTTCTCGTGTACTCTGTAAAAGCGTACATAGTAAATTAACCAAGGCGTTATATACCTACAGTCATATTACGTAATGTAGACCTATTTAAATTTCCTATTCCTGTTGTT